ACTCAGAGGAGTTAAGCAATTTGTTTAGGTCACATAGCTAGTTCGGTGGTAAGAGTTCATAAGAGATTACAGATCATCCATAAACAAAACTACACTGACTGGTTTAATCAAAGCCCACTGGCTTCCAAAGTCAAATTAATTTGTTTGAGATTTTTGCATTTTAATGATCTAGATGATGGGGTGGTTGGAATGTCTTTCCAGGCATAGATATCGACTTTTCTATCTTAAATAATGATGTTTATTTAGCAGGGTGCTCTTTCATTCAACAAATATGAACACATCTTTGCCGAGTCCACCCCCTTCTTGATGCAAGGTAAAGGAGAAAGTCTTAAATTTTGAATCCATCCAGCAAAGCATGATGTAGACTGACCTGCTTCGGAGAGTGGTCAGCCACTCGAATAGGAGTGAATGCTTATATTTAAATAGTGTTTCGTCATCTCCTCCCAGCATTTGGATATAAAATTCCTGATGTGACTCCTTTCTGACCTCTGCCTTTCCTTTCTCTTTGCTGGTGACATCCTGGCCTCTTTCCATTCCTTGCCCACTTCTCTCCAAGAAGGGTGCTATCTGATCGGTGGTATCAAAGAAGGAACTGAGCACGCTCAATACAACTTCCTCCTCTCTTTAGAAGCCAGTCTGCCTGCAGGAAGCCCCCATTCTCTGACCATGATGTGATGAGCTTGTGGGGAAGCTGGTTATTTGGGAGAGTGTCCACTCCTTCGCAAACACATCTGAGCCACATTCTCCAATCTAGTTTTCATCAATATTAAAGCTGACATTTGGTGTCTATCTGGCTCACCCACACATCCAGTTGTTTTTGTTTCCAAACTTGTGCAAGGAGGAGGGGTGTGATGTCTTGAACTCCTTAGAGTCTCAATAATTCTCTGCTGATTGACAGGTTGATTTCATTTTGCGATAAAGCACATCAGAGAGCATAGAAGAAACTCCTTCAAAAGGCACATTCTGTCAGGGAAACTGGGAAATTGTTTGAGCTTCACATTTAAAATAAGAGTATTTAGCAGCATACTGTTTTGGAAGTGAATTTTTATTACTTTAGGTAGCTTGAATATTTAATTAAATCTGTCATTAATACTTCATAGAAATGCAAATCTGTATCTTTTCCCAGGAGTTCTTTTAGACAAGGATGAAAGCCCCCTTTAGAGGCACATTCTCCTGGTGCTGGAATTAACAAATTAAGTTTTCCAAAGACGAAAGAAAAAGGTTATTGAAGAATTTTTCTATTCTTAATTTCACTGTCCAGGCTGTTTTTGCAGTATATACAAAAGGCTTTACACTTTCCCCCATTTTAGGAATAACTTTGCATAAATAGGGCTTCCCTTGTGGCTTAGCTGGTAAAGAATCTGCCTGCAATGTGGGAGACCTGGGTTTGATCCCTGGGTTGGGAAGATCCCCTGGAGAAGGGATCTACCTCCAGAAGGGATCTACCCACTCCAGTATTCTGGCCTGGAGAATTCCATGGACTGTATAGTTCGTGGGGTCGCAAAGAGTCGGACACGACTGAGCGACTTTGACTTTTGCATAAATAAAATGAGATATCCCTCCTGGCCCCCTCACTGTACCCCGAGTATCTCCAGGGGACGAGACCTGACAGCTTACTGGGGCCATTAACCTGTCCAAAGCGGGGAAGATCAAAGTCACGTGGAGGAAGCGTGAAAATTTAGCGCATGGCAGGTGTGTCATGGGGGGACCTTTCAACCTTTTCTTGTTCATCTCCCACCACTCGTTTTTCCTTTTTAAGAACTGTAATAGGCTTTCCATAGCTCCCTTTCTATTGCCTCCAGAGAAAGGCTACCTACTTTCACCTGGCAGTGGGGGTCTCTGTACTGTGGTTTCTGTCTGACCTCTATGTCCTTCTCTTCCACTTTTCCTCTCAGTTTTTGTCTAATTCACTCTCTCACTAATCCCATAAGGACCCCATGAATTCCGGCCTCAGTGCCTCTGATCTGCTGTTCCCTCTTCCTGAATGCCTGGATCCTTCAATATCCCTTCCCCCTTCCCCTCTCTGTCCTCTAAAACATCATAGCCCTATATAAAGACCTCCTTTCCCAATTTTGAAACAGTCTGTTGTTCCAAGTCTGATTCTAACTGTTGCTTCTTGACCTGGACAACAGTCAAAGGTGATCCATGAGATACAGAAAACAAAATGAATGGAGCCTGTGATCTGGTAACAGATCACCAGGCAGGTGGCTGTCCACCCAGTGCTCCAAACCAGGAAGGAGTGAGGTCTAGTAACATCCTTTTGATAACAAGACTTCATGTTCCCTCTGAGCAGGGAAATGAAGTTCTCAAAAAGCAGAGATGTCCCTTTGCTGACCAAGGTCCATTATAGTTCAAGTTGTGGTTTTTCCAGTAGTCATGTATGGATGTGAGAGTTGTACCATGAAGCAGGCTGAGCACCAAAGAGTTGATGCTTACAAACTGTGGCATTGGAAAACTCTTGAGAGTCCCTTAGACTGCAATGAGATCAAACCAGTTAGTCCTAAGGAAATCAACCCTGAATATTCATCGGAAGGACTGAAGCTGAAACTCCAATACTTTAGTCACCAGATGCAAAGAGTTGACTCATTGCAAAAGACCCCGATGCTGGGAAAGATTACGGGCAGGAGAAGAAGAGGGTGACAGAGGATAAGATGGCTGGATGGCATCACCGACTCAATGGACATGAGTTTGTGCAAACTCCGAGTGATGGTGAAGGACAGGAAAGCTTGGTGTGCTGCAGTCCATGGAGTCACAAAGCGCTGGACATGACTTAGTGGCTGAAGAATAGTAACAACTTGCAAAGGAACTGTTTCATGCTGTGGTTCTGTGTGTTATTGCCTCTGGTCCCTGATCATAGTGGGCTGTTTTGTGAGCCAAATATGCAGGTCCCCACAGTGTGTCTTTGAAGAACTAGTTTCCTTTGTTCTTCCTTCTCCAGGTCCTGTGGCCAGGACCACCTCTCCAAGAAGCCTTTGAAGTTTCCCCCAGCAGAATTCTCTTTTCTAGCCAACAACACCCAAAGTGGACTATTTGCTTCTTTGGGGCATTTCTTCCCTCCTCCTTGTGGCAGAGTTTTTTTCTGAAGGACAGATCATAACAGGCAAAATCTGAGTCTTTCAAGCTGGGGCTTGCTCTCCTCTGAAGGACACACAATGGGGACAGGAAAATTGTGCAGACGTGGGAGAACCCAGGGCATCATCTTCTGCCAGCCTCTACATCATGGAAATATGCCAACTACTTTAAAACCTCTAAATACAAACATGTGACTCTTAAAAATAGGTTACATGACAGGAAAAAATGTTTCACAAACTTTTTTTTCAATTTTTTTTTTTTGGTGGTAAAATATACATAACATGAAATGTACCATCTTAACCATTTTCTCAGTGTCCAGTTCAGTGGCATTAAGTACATTGACATTGTGCACAACTATTGACACCATCCATCCCCAGAAATTTTTTGTCTTCCCAAAATGAAACTCTGTCCCCATTAAGCACTAACTCTCACCGCTCCTCTCGCCAGCCTTTGGCAACCACCATCCTATGTTCTGACCCTATGAATTTGACTGTTCTAAGAGACTCATATAAGCAGAATCCTATGGGATTCATGCATTTGTGACTGATTGATTTCACTGAGCATAATGTCATCCACGTTGTAGCATCTGCCTGAATTTACTTCCTTTTCAAGGCTGCATAATATGCCATCATGTAGATAAGGACCCCATTATGTTTATCCATCCATCTGTTGAGGGGCACTTGGGTTGCTTTGACTTTGGGCTACTGGGAATATAATTCCACAAACCGTTAAAGGTGAAATTAAAGGCTTCATCAAGATATGGTGCTTATGCAGGCTACTTTGGGGGTTGTGCTTTAGCTTCCTAGGCAGGGGAGAGGGGTGTATACTTACCCTTAGGGGCTGAAGTGGTGAAATCGGAGAGTTGAGTTGCGTGAGCTCAGTCGTGTCCGACTCTTTTCAACCCCATGGCCTGTAACTCACCAGGCTCCTCTATCATGGGATTCTCCAGGCAAGAATACTGGAATGGGTTTCCATTTCCTCCTCCAGGGGATTTTCCTGACCCAGGGATCAAATCTGGGTCTCCTATGTTGCAAGCAGATTCTTTACCATCTATTAGACTTTGTTGTTCCCTGTAGCAGGTTTTCTAGAGAAAGTGTAAGAGGTAATGATGTGGAGAAAGTATAGAGGCGCTGGAATGAACAAACTATTAATACTTAGTTGAGTGAAGGATTCTTTCATTTAGAGTTTCTTCTGAGCCCTTAAGGTGCTAAGGCCCTCCCCCAGAGGAGCTTTGTTCTGCTGGGGTAAACAGTATGGTGCCAACTGGGAAGAGGAGCTTGAGAGATGAAGGAAACACAGAGAAGGGGGCAATAGGTATGCAAAGTGAGGATGCTCCAAAGTGGCTCCTTGGGAACCAGAGATGCAGAGAACAAACAGGAGATTTTCGGGAGGATGAGGATGCACGGCATTTGAATCATAGCAAAGTTTGGATTTGTAGATGCAAGGAGCCTGGTGGGCAGAGCATGAGCCATCACGGGTATGAAGTCCAGGTGTGCGGTGGGGATGGCAGACCAGACCAGCTGTACCTTAGCCTGGATGGGGGTGCGAAGGGCTTGGAGACCTTGTTAGGAAGACTGAACTTTCATCCTGTAGGATGGGGAAGCTTTAAAGATTTTGCCCTGGAGAGCAACACAGTTCAGTTTTCCTCCAAGAATGATAAATGTGGAATGAACAGCTAGATTCCGAAAGCCCCGCACTGAGCATCTTTATAAGCGGAGGTGCCCATGCTGTCTCAAGCTGCACGCTGAGATTCCAGCACTGATGCTTTTAACTCTTGAGACCTTCCTCAGAGTCCCGACTGGATGACTGGCTGCCTACCTGCAGCGATACAAATACCACTGATACAGGCTGCTCTCTGTAAACCACACGTTCTGTCCTCTGCCCTCCCCTTACTCACGGCTCTCTGGTCTCTGGCTGGCCCCTCCCAGGTCCGAGGAGAGTTGCTTCGGGAGAGAGTGCAGCAGCTGGAGGCCCAAGAGGGACGCTTTGCCGAGTCCCTCGTCTCCCTGCAGTTTCAGAAGGCGGCCAGGATGGCCAGGACCCTGTGGGCGTATACCGCCCTTCTGAGCATCCAGGACCTGCTTCTGGAAGAGCTGAGCGCATCAGAGACCCTGACCAAGTCAGCCTGCATGCAGATCCTGGAGTCACACAGCCCGGTGAGTGCAGGACCCGGGAAGGAAAGGATGCCCACTACACTGCATCCCTCAGTGGTTCTTTCTGGTGGCTGCCTCCATCTCTCCCACCATCGGATGGGTGGTCTGCCGTCCTGTCTCTGCCATGGGGTCCTGCGGGGGGCTGAGTGAGGTAACTTACATGGGAGCCCGGTGCACTGTTGCTGCCCAAGGCTTCTCTATTTCGTTGCCTTCAGGAAGCAAACCTTTTAAATGTTAGCATTTTTAACATCTGGGAACCTGGGATTCCTCTTGCAGCCAGCAGCTGTTTGTTTCTTTGACAGTGCCATGAAAAGTAGAGAGAGAAATGCCAACCCACCCCAGTATTCTTGCCTGGAGAATCCCATGGACAGAGAAGCCTGGCAGGTTCCCAGTCCATGGGATTGCAAGAGTCGAACATGACTTAGCGAATAAACCACCACCACCATGAAAAGTAGCCGTGTAGCTTTCAATGAGGGCTTCCCAGGCGGCACCAGGGGTATAGAACCCACCTGCCAATGCAGGCGATATAAGAGATGCATGTTGGATCCCCGGGTTGGGAAGATCCCCTGGAGGAGGGCATGGCAACCCACTCCACTGTTCTTGTCTGGAGAATCCCATGGACAGAGCAGCCTGGTGGGCTACAGTCCATGGGCTCGCAAAGCGTCGGGCATGCCTGAAGCAACTTAGCACCGTTTTCAGTGAAGGGCGCCTTAGATGTTATGAAGTATTGGATTTGTTTTTATTTTCAAAATTTTAATTATTACCATTATTTCTACATGCTGCATGTTTTCAAGGTGTGGGAGGTGTATTCATAACACAAAGCTAGAGACATAACTGCTTTGAGGACTAATTTTTAGTTCCCATGTGTGTGATTTTAGAATTTTGTGTATTATTATAATAGTCACCTAAATGGAACTCACATTTATTGAGTGCCGTGTGTGTGGCAGGTGAGCACTAATGAGCTGTGTGAAATGGGCATGCTCTCATTTAAGCATTAATAATGTGCTACTCCATCATGCGTCTTAAGACACTCATTTAAGCATGATTAATAATAAGTTGCAATTTTATGCCTCTTTGCAATTATGTTCTTTGTCAGACATTATGTCAGTTAATCATTGAGCCATGCTGTGAATCTGGTAGTGTTTCTGTGCCCAATTCTCAAGTAAAGAAATGAGATTCGGGCAAGTGGCAGGTCAAGCTTTTCCCAAGGTTTTTCCAAGTTTTCTGAGGTTCACAGAGCTAGTAAGTGAAATCTGTTCTTTTCTGACTTTAGCTCCTGGGTCATGTCCACAGTTGATCCTGTCGATGGAGCTTTCCATTTCTTTATAGAAAATCATAAATAACATTAGACTCTGAAGCACGTGTGCTTGGTCGCTCTGTCGTGTTGGACTCTGTTTAACCCCATGGACTATACCCCACCAGGCTCCTCTGTCCATGGGATCTCCCAGACAAGAATACTGGAGTGGGTTGCCATTTCCTTCTCCAGGGGATCTTCCCATCCCAGGGATCAAAGCTGCATCTCTGCGTCTCCCACATTGGCAGGCAGATTCTTCACTGCTTTGCCACCTGGGAAGCCCAGCTTCTGAAGAGTCCAGGCTATTTTTCCAGCAAATATAGTGCACCCCGCACTTGGACGCCTGCTTGTAGGGATAGGAAGCAAGGGGAGACTTTGTGGGTATCCCGGCACAAAACATCTGGACACTGGATAAATAAAAATAAATGTACTTTTTCTTGCTTTGTGAGTTCACAGTAGGGTGAGGAAAATTCCCAAGGGATGAGGATAGCTTGGAAAAATCTGAACTCAACAGAAAGAGATGTATGCAAACCCAGAGGCTGAAATCCAAAAGCAAATGGAGAAAACCAGGACCTCCAGGGCTTGGGGGGTTAATTTGAAGGACCAGGAGGTGGAGCTATGGGGTGTCCTGAGGCGTAGAGCAACCGGTGGGGTTGGTGCAGAGGGTGGGTGGTGGGGGAAGCCGCTTGTGCTCAAAGGAGCCCCCAGGATCCCCTGTCCATCTCCAGCCCTGCCAGGGTTGAGGGAGGAGAGTCCCCTCTGTGAGTTTGTCATCAAAGGTTTCTGCTAACAGAACAAAGGAATCCAAAAATACTTTAGCCATTCAGTCAGAAGATCTCCAAGGTGATGAATTAAATTAAATTAGATATGCAAATATCTGGCATGATTGACCATTTAAAAAAGAGATAAAGAAGTAATATCAGGAGTATAAAAGGCAACATGACAATAGATGCCCTAGAGTTTTTAAAAATAAGAGAATTCTATGAACAATAATTTTATGTAGGTGAATTTCAACATTTCTAAAAAATTACAGCTCGCCAACATTGGCTCAAGTAGAAAAAACTCTCTATAGTCCTGTTACCATGAAAGAAATTGATTCAGTAGTTTCAGAATCTTCTGACACACACAAAAATATCTAACCTTAATAGTTTTATAGGCAAACTCCACCAAACCTTAAGATAACAAAATTTTCCAATCTCATATGCAGATCATTTGGTTATTAAAAAAAGTAGGGAATATTCCTCATTTCATGAAGCTCAGAAAACATTGATGCCAAAACCAGGCATGACTAGTATGGGAAAGAATAATTACAGTTTAGTCTTACCTATCCTCCTAGATGTACACTTCATAAACAAAATATTAATGAATAATCCAATCATCTATAAAAAGATACAGCCCAACCAGTATGAGTTTTTCCCAGGAATGTAAGGCTGGTTTAACACTAAGACATGTCTGGACAAAATTCATGAGATTAACAGATTAAAGAAACACAATTCCTATGATCATTTTGGTATGAACAAAACAGGTATTTTATTGAATTCAGCGCCCATCCAATGTAAGACTCCTTAGCAAGTTAGTAATAGGACGAAATCCTGCAAGATGTTTACCCAAAACCCACAGGGAGCATCACTGCTAGGTGATTGGCATGGAGGCAAGGCCACTGCCTGGAATTACAGGTGAAGGAGGTGAGGTCCTCAGAGGAGGGGCAGGACCATGGTCATGCGTCAAACAAGTTAGGAACAAAGACAGACACTAGGAGCCTCTGGCTTCCGATTCCCGATTCATCTCTTCATTATAAACGCTCTGAGAAACACCTCAATTCAACCCTAAGAGACCTAATGGCCCTTTTTACTTGCAGCAACCCTCATTCTTACTAGTAATTGGGGAGCACAACACTTACATTTTCAATTTTATGTTAAAGCCCTTTTGAGTGACATCAAAGCTTCCTTATTCTCGAATGTGCTTGAAGTAGAAGAGTTAACATGTCCTGAATTAGAAGCAACTAATAAAACTATGGATACAATGCCAGATTTTTTTTAATTTTAATGAAGATTTACATTTGGAAGGAAGATAAACCTATCATTTTACACTTGATATTAGATTTTCATTCTGCAATTTGATCATTCTGGGAAAACTACTTTCCCGTTGGGAATGGGCTTTTAAGCTGTTACACATTCAGAATTTTAAAAGCGTGAAATGAAATGATTTGGAGGCAGTAACTCCTGAGAAACCTGTGTCAGGCTCCCCTCATTTGATGAAGCGTTTAGACCCATTTTGTGAAACTGGACCACAGAAAGGACATAATTGAATCGTGGGGTTGAATGGCAATCATGGGCAGCTTTAAATGTGATGGTCTTACTCATAACACATCATGTGACCTCAGGCTAACTGCACCCGCTGTATTTAATCCACAGTTTATGTTGCTTCGTGTGTATCTACTTTCCCAAGCCTGGACTGGACGTCTTCCTTTTCTGTCCTCTGCCTTACTGCCCACTCACCACCAGTCACTCAGGCTGTCGATTCTGCCTTAATTTTCTCACTTTTGACCTTTGCCACCCAGCTTCGCTACTCAGACAAATCTAGACCTGAAAACAAAAAAATCACACCAGGAGTAGCTCTCATCAGGTCCAGGGCATCGTGTTAAGTGTGTAAACCTTCTGTCAGCCCCGGGATGTTTTTATTCCCATTCTGCAGATGGAGTTGAGGCTTAGGACTGTTGACTCATTTTACCACGGTCCCAGAGCTGGAAATCAAAGCCCATACCTCCTGCTTTGAAAGCCCAGTTCCTGTTCTCACACCAATTCCCGCCTGCCTCCTTCTTTCCCTACTGCAGTCTCCTCCACCCTTCAGCCAAAGGAGCATATCTGAAAAATAAAAATAATTAGTGACAGCCCCATTCCCAGCTCCATAACATCGTGTTAAGTGTGTAAACCTTCGGTCAGCCCCGGGATGTTTTTATTCCCATTCTGCAGATGGAGTTGAGGCTTAGGACTGTTGACTCATTTTACCACGGTCCCAGAGCTGGAAATCAAAGCCCATACCTCCTGCTTTGAAAGCCCAGTTCCTGTTCTCACACCAATTCCCGCCTGCCTCCTTCTTTCCCTACTGCAGTCTCCTCCACCCTTCAGCCAAAGGAGCATATCTGAAAAATAAAAATAATTAGTGACAGCCCCATTCCCAGCTCCATACTTTAATACCTCTCCTCTACCCCTCCCTCCCTCAGACCCTGCATTTTAGCCCTTGGACCTTCCGAGCACTGGAGATACTTTCAAGCCTCAGTTCCTTTGAAGGACCTCTGTCTAGAATGCTTCTGCTGCCCACCCTACAAACTCCTCTCTGGCAGCTACAACAGGCCAAATGTTGCCTCTTCTGGGAAGCCATCCATGATACCCTTGGGCAGAGTTGATTTCTCCCAGCTGTGTGCTCAAGTCATCCTCCATCTAGATTCCCTAAGGTGACTGTTACCTGTCACTATATCTGTGTTTACACAACTGTCTCCCACACTAGACCGTGAGTTTCCCGAGTCTAGGGGCTATGTCTCATTCACCCCAGAATCCCTCATGCCCAGTAAATGACCTGGAACTGTCTTCATCATCATCTACCCATCTGTCCATCCATTCGTTCATTCAACAGATGTCTACAGAGTGCTTTCCAGAGACAATGGGAGCAACAGATAGGGCCCCGAGTTAAAGAAACCTGAAATTACTCCTCTCTCAGGCTCTTGGGACTTCACATGTCCTTACACTCTCTGCTCCTTAGCTAACTTATTTATAAAATGGGGTATTAACAAATTCCTAGTTTGTGCTGGTTTATGAAGATCAAATACATTAATTCATGTAAAGATACCATGAGTCGAATCTAGCACAGTGTGGAAGTTCGGTGCATGCTAATTACCATTATCATTATTAATAATAAGATGATGCTGATGACTGTGACTCCTTCCATAGGCCAGGTGCCTGCTCTCTGTTGGGAGGCTGCTCCTGCTATTTAGTCACTCAGTCGTGTCCAGCTCTTACGACTCCATGAACTGTAGCCCGCCAGGCTCCTTTGTCCATGGGATTCTCTGGGCAAGAATACTAGCGTGGGTTGCCATTTCCTTCTCCAGGGGATCTTCCTAACCTAGGGATCCAATCCAGGTTTCCTGCTTGGCAGGCAGATACTTTACAGCTGAGCCCCCTGGGAAGCCTACTCCCTGCTGGGGAGAGGGATGAACAAGACAGTCCCAGAGTCCCTGCCTCAGCATTGAAACTCTAGTGAAGAGAGCAGATTCTAGATTCCATTCTAGAACCACATCTTGGATTCCAGTAGTGCTAAGTGGCAGGGGTTTGGGGATAGGACTGACCCCTGGGAGAACCTGCCATCAGCAACTTAGAACCTGCAGGATATGTTTGTTCCCAACTGGGGTTCACCTGGTCTTGGAAAATCAAAGTGTGACACGCCAGCTTTCTGTCTCTGCCTGTTCCAGGGACACTAGCAGGTATGGGTTTGTCCCTTCCTTCCCCATGCCAGGCTGGGGCTGGCACCTCAATGGAGGCCTGGTCCGTGACAGCTGCAGACACGCTGACAGAACATGGGGGTGGGAACTCATTAGTGCTGTTGGAAATGCTGTGTTTGGTTATGTTTCCATTTGGGATGCCGGAAGCCCGTACTCAGAGCATCCCAAACTCCTCACAGCCCTGGAGGCAAAACCTACATGCTCTCCATGCTATGACCTCAGTTTACCTCTCTGGCCATTTTCTCCATGTCTTGATTTTTCAGTAACGTTTCTGAGACTCTGATGCAAGCTTTAGTGCCTCTGCAGAAAGGCAGATTGTTTTGTACAAAATTTAGCAGGATCAAGGACCACCATCACCTGATGAAGTCTATCCAAGGCCTCTTAGGGTCAAACCCCACCCACACCCCACCCCCAGGTAGAACACTGGCCAATCTGATGACAGTGGTTTCAATGACTAACCCCTAAAGCCCACCTTCCTGACCACCCTCTCTTCCCTGCATAAACAGACTGTGCATAGTCTCTTGTACCCAGATTCTCTGACTCTGATGGCCTCAGGCTGCAAACTTCTTGTTTGACCGGTGAGAGACAGTATAGCTTGGGGATTAGGGCACAAACCAAATCGTGGAGCCAGCTGACCTGGTGCCATATTCTCGTTCTGCCACTCAAGATTCATGGGCGTGTGTGCTGAGTCCCTTCAGTCATGTCCAACTCTTTATAACCCTATGAACTGCAGCCCTCCAGGCTCCTCTGTCCATGGGATTCTCCAGACAAAAATACTGGAGTGGGTTGCCATTTTCTCCTCCAAGGGATCTTCCCAATTTAGGGATGGAACCTGTATCTCTTGCATCTCTTACATTGGTAGGCAGGTTCTTTACCACTAGTGCCTCCTGGAAAGCCCTACTAACCCCTAAAGCCCACACCTCTGCACCTCCAGGCACCCTCTCACTGAGGATTAGGGATCCAGCATATGGATTTAAGGGACCACAAGTGTTCATTCAGTCTGTAACAGGAAAATACTAGGGGTAGTGTATGGTCAGTTGAGGAGAGGGTATCTGTATCTCCCAAGGAACTTAGGGAGCCTGTAGTAAGCCCCTGGCAGCTTTTGATTAATGAGGCAACCATTTCAAAAACATCTATCTCAATAAACAGATTGCCAACTAAAGTAGATAAAAGCAGACTGCCCCACCCATGAAGTTCCTGTTTCTGGGAAGCTCTGGTTGACCTACACACCTGACCTCTTGAGACCCTGCTTTGCCCTCTTTGCAGCCTAATTCCTGCTCTCTTAAGTTCCCAACAGAAAGAGAACCAGTGACCCCTAGGCACCCCACCTTTGACCCACAAAAAGGCAGAGCACCCGAGCCACATTCTTTTTCTCTACTTGTGACGCTGTTGTGTGGCCCAGGTACGCCGTGTACCCTCGAGGGCGTGTTCCTTATTTTTTCAAGGTCCTTGGTGGTTGTGGCTGAGGTGTTGTTCCAGTGCGCAGGCACAAGCTGCTAACTTCGTAACATGCTTCTCTTCCCTGACATCTTTCTGTCCTTCATTTTCTAGTGTCTGTTTAATATTTAATTTCTACTGAATGTTTAATACTGAAGTTATACTGAAGATAATATTTTTCAGCTTTTTATTTTGAAATAATTACAGATTCACAAGAAGTTGCAAAAATAGTCATAAGAATCACAAGGACAGGTCCAACCTTAGCATCGGCCCATCAGGGAAATGTCTCTGGGGGCTGCCTCAGGGAGTGTGGACCCAGGTGAGGACCCCCAGGCAGCTCCAGTCAGTAGCATCATGGACTATGTCTGAGACCAACACAAAGCAGTTCCCCCAAGGAGGTTCTTCTAAAGCCAGTCCTTGAAAGAAGACTCAGAATTGGCCAGGAAAACAGGGAAAAGGCCTGCAGGTAGGGGCGCAGCATGTGCAAAGGCACGAGATGTGAGAGACCCGAATGCAGTCTCATTATGCTATTTGCACCACTGGCTGGTAGGGGAGCGGACAGTGATGGAGATCACATGTCCACCCATGGCTGATTCATGTCAATGTATGGCAAAAACCACTACAATATTGTAAAGTAATTACCCTCCAACTAAAATAAATAAATTAATTAAAAAGAAGAAAAAAAAGAGGAGGTCCTGCCAGGCTTGCAGCGCCGAGCCGAGAGGGGTGGATTTTATCCTCCAGCCCCCCGCCTTGTGCTCAGTACCTGCCCCTCTGTGCGCAGGAGCTCCAGGAGCTGGAGAGAAAGCTTGAGGACCGGCTGGCACACCAGGAGGCGGCCCAGCTGCAGCGGGCCCTGGACAGTCGGCAGCAGTGGGCAGGCGAAGGACCTGGGCTTCTGCAGGAGCCGGAGGAGACGGATTCTGAAAGGCAGGTCTCTGCTGTCCTGCGGCGAGCCCTGAGCAAGGGTCAGAAGCTACTGGAGCATCACCAACAGAGGTGAGCTGAGGACCCAGTGTATGACATCTTCTTTATGCATCCATCTGTGGATGGACACTTAGATCGCTTCCATATCTTGGCTTATTGTAAATAGTGTTGCAGTGAACACAGGGGTACATATATCTTTTGGAAAACATAATTTTTAACAGCTTCATAATTTTCCACTGTGAAGGACAGGGTAAAAACTATAATACATAGCATGACTCCATTTTTGAAAACACAAATTCATTGAAAGAAAATAGGGCAGACTGTAATAGATGTGATTTCTGTGTGGTGAGATTATAATTGACTTTAATGTGTTTGATCATGCTTTTCTGTGTAAACACAGAATCAAAGTACATTTCTGTTCCATTGAAATAATTGCATAAGAGGCTGAATCTGTTTGATCAGAGGAAAATGCTCAGAGATGTTGACTTGACTTGGACTTGATTGTGGATTTTAGGAGATTTAACACCCTAATGTATTCCATGCTTCATGGAGAGAATTGCTGATGATCAAGCTTTTTGTATGAGTTGTACCCTCAAAGGGTTTAGATTGTATTAACCAGCAAGAAGGCAGGATGGATAACCCAGGATACCAACTTTAATTGGCTGAGGGGATAAACTGGGAAGACCCCCTTCCTTCCCCCTAGGAAGTCAAGAAGCCTGATGGAGATCTCATGTGATAAGGTGCCACCCAGATTTTGTGGTCAGAGCCAGGTCCATCCTTAGGAGATGATTCTGGGCCCATGTCAACACAGGAGCACTCGATGCATGAAGACCCCAGACCTTGGTGTTCTTGAGCACCAGGCATGGCAAGTACTACTGAGAGTTTTCACATTAGGATCACCGTTGGAGGTCAGAGGGAACAAAAAGTGTCCACTGTACTGAGCAGGCATCTTGAGACTGAAAAACAAGGCAGGCAGCTCCATTTCAACGATGGATCTGTTTATCTAGGGTGACTTACTCACATAGTAGGGGCAGGCGGACAACAGCCCAGAAGCCTTCACGGCTTCACTCTAAACCGAGGGGCCACTATAATTAACCTAGGGTATGGGCTAGGTGCTTGGAAATGGGATGTGCGTTCCTAAGTCAAAATTTATGAATAAGTAACTAGTCCCATGGATGCCAGGAATACTTAAGGGAAGGTTTTCATCCTTGTCTAGGGAATAACAGAGCACAGAGAATACCTGACCCTAATGATTATTAAATAATATCTATTAACTACAAAGCCTTTGACGACAGAGAAGTGATTCATTGCACAGTCCTGGGTGGGTCAGCAGAAGGACAGGAAAGACTGCAAGGGCCGAAGATGACATCAGTTATGCTAATAGCCATGCAGAGCACAGGCTGCCCTGCAAAGCCACAGAATAGTCTCCACACGGTTCCCACAAAAATTCTCACTTGAAAGAGCCCTCCATCCTGGTGAGCAGTCCCGGATTCATTTATTTACAAGATAATCTAGCTAAAAAGAGGCCAGCTTCTTCTGGCTGTCTCTTTTGATGGATTTTTTTTTAAATCATGCAGATTAGGTTTGTGATACTTTGTTATTTAACCAACTAGACAATCTTCTCATAGGATCACTTTATAACAACACTGAACTGATGGAGATTTTGTTTTCACCCTAGTTTGAGAGAGGAGCAAGAAGACAGTGTCGTGCTGGAAGATTTGCTGGAGAATATGGAGACTGACACCTTTGTGACCCTGTACAGCCAGGTGAGAACAAGTTCACTGTGTCCTGGGGTCCATCCCTTGCCAGCCCATAACTTGACATTTTTCTCAGAGTCCATGTTTCCTCACCTGCAGGACACAGATGGTAACAGGAACCTTGAGAACTGCTAAGAGGATTTGTGAAAAGGCCTGGCCCAGGGCCAGCACCTAGGGGACATTCAGTCAGGGTCACGGCCGCAACAGAAACAATAGTAATCACTGCCCTGGTCAGTTTCTTTTCTGTGATTAGACAGGCCCCCAGCCTGTCTTCTTCTCAGTCTTAAATAGGTTTAATATACACAGAGTAGGTTCCACCAGGAACAAAGTTGGTCATTGAAATCTAGGCCATATAAGGAGAATGCTGAGATTGCACACCGCGTTTCAACTTATCTCTGTTGGGGTTAGGTAGCCTCACTCTTGGCCAGAGCTGCAGCCCTCACCAGCATTCCTGAGACAGCGCGAGGCTGTGCTCACGGAGTCATATGCAGAGTTACATAACTCCACCAGTGGTGTTTTATGTGCATTCCAAGGTGGGATTCCTGGTTTCTTGAGTCTCAGCAAACGTGATTTGTGACAGTGGCTTATGCCAGTCACAGGCCATTGGGAGGCAGGTGTTGCTGACCTTGCTTCAGTTCAATGATGTCACTGTTACACTCTGATCCTTCCAACCTCTCCTTGAAGTTCCAGCTTCCGTGTCTGTGTTCACGTGAAGAGTGCAAAAGTAGAACACAATCACTCTGCTGTCTTTTCTTTCTAAGAAAGTACATGCCACCAAGTCTCTGAAGCAAATTATACTCATGTCCTGAGCAGACCCGACCCATGGATCCCTGGTTGCAAGGGGGGCTGCAAATTCAACACTTCCTTTTCCACCTCCAAAGAGAGCCAGCAGGGAGAAGGGGTAGGGACACTTTCAGGTGTCCAGCTGGCAGAACTGGCCACAACTTGTCCACAGGCACACACATCTTCTCACTTGTATTAGTTTCCTTTTGCTGCTGTAACAAATTACTACCAATTTAGTGGCTTAACAGAACACAAATTTATTATCTTCTTGTTCTGTGGGTCAGAAGGCCTGCATGGGTTTTGCCAGACTAAAATCAAAGTGTCAACACGTCTATACTCCTTCTAAGGATCTGGGAGAATCTATCTCCTCCTCATTCAAGTAATAGTCAGAATTTGGTTCATTGTGGTTGTAGGATTGAGGTTTTCATTTCCTTGCTAGCTGTCAGCTGACGGCTGTTACCAGTTTCTAGAGGCATTTGAATTTCATAGTTCATGGCTCCCTTCTTTCATCTTCAAACTCAACAAATCACATCTTACTGATGCTTCTTCCATTGTCATCACATCTCTCTCTAACCTACCACAGCAGGAAAAGTTCTGTGCTTTTAAGGACCCAGGTGATGATGAGGTTGGACTCATCTGGATAATCAGTCTAGGCTTCATCATTAAGCTTCATCACAAAGTCCCTTGCCATGTAAAATGACATATTCCCAGGCTGGGACATGAACACCTTCGAGGCCATTATTCTGCCAGTCACACCAGACAGGAAACCAAGGTTAAGCATCAAAGTCAGTAGTAAATCTAACATGCTCCTTCCTCTTTGACATGAGAGCTGACCTGGGCTTTCTTGCTATTTATAGCAAGAGAGGAGTACCCACCCATGGCAGGACTCAGGAGAGTACTTGCCACTCATCTCACTGTCAGGCCATTCTACATCATCTCCTTATAGACAGGTCCTCCAGAGGGGACATTATTGCCCAAGTTCACATTGAGGAGCTCAGTGGAGCTAGGATTGGAGTTCACATTCTTCTACTCCATGTCTCTTAGCCTGAGCTCCAGACTGGGAGTGGGGGAGAAAGTGGAAGTTTCCAGAACACCTGTTGTGCATTGAGTATCATCCTAGGCACTCATATCAGTTATTCATTTAATCCCTGCAGAAAGCTGGGAGTCAGGGACTATCTTCTCTATTTTGCAAATAGAGGAACCAAGGTACAAATGGGTGGCTTAGGGTTCCAGGGCTCACCATCCTCCTTGAATCTCAGGACTCGGCCTGGGGTTGGTGACTTACATGGGATGTGCTCTTCCTGCTCTGTTGCCCTGCAGAGCACATGCTGCTCCTGGCCTGGGTCTCTGTGGGAAATGAGCCATCTCCCGTGCTCACTGTGATTCCCCATCTTCTTTGTTACTAGGAGACTTGACAGATGGCCAAACTCTCCCATGTAGAATATCATCCAGGTTCATCCCTAATTTGTTGCCTCTTTTAAACTGTTTAAACTTTTAAACTGTGACCTGTTGGCAAGGCTAAAGAACTGGCCCTGTCAGGAGTGAAATGCTGCTTGGATGGAAGCCTTGAGCAGCAGGAATCATTTAGGTGGGTGACTTTTCTCTGCACCGACCCTCCCAATCCTGTGCCTTGTAGAATCCCCCAGCAATGTCTACTCAACTTCATTTCTTTCTTTCCAGCCCTTGTGTATTAGTGAGGGTCTTCCAGAGAAACAGAAGCACAAAGACTTGGGAAGAGAGGGAGAAAGAGGTTTACTTTAAAGAATTAGCATAGTGATTGTGGAGACTGGCAAGTCCAAATAGGCTAGCAATATAGAACAGCAGGCTGGAGACCAGGGAAGAGCCAGTGTCGCGGTCCAAGTTCAAAGGCCCACTATTGGCAGAATTCCCCCGGCCCAGCGGTCAGTCTTTGTTCTGTTCAGGCCTTCACCTGATTAGATGGAGCCCACCCACACTGTGGAGGGCAATCTGTTTTAAGTCCACTGACTCACGTGTTAATCTCATTCAAAAGCTACTCCACAGATATATCCAAAATTATGTTTGTCCATATAAATCTTGGCACTGTGGCCCAGACAAGTTGGCCTATAAAATTAACCATCACTCCCTATGTAGAGGAGTCCTGTATTTTGCCTGTTTCTTCTTTGTACCAGGCAAGAGAATTACCAGGGAAACCCAGTCCCACCCCTATTCTTTCTCCTACTTCTTCTAATTACTCCTCCCCCTCCTCCTCCTCTTCCTTCATCTCCTTCTTTTTCTTCTTTCCCCTGCAATCTCTGTCTTTCTCTCCCTCTCCCTCCCCAACCCTCCCCTGCCTCTATGTGTCTTTTGTTTTATTTCCTGCTTATTACACTGCCTTAGGGACAGCATGTTTCAATTACAAACTTTACATGAAGGATCATTTCCACACAAGCATCCATGTTTTCATATTTATGCAACTTTGCCAACTCCTCCTCCTTTGCATATTTATGACAATATCAAAATAGCACTCAAATGTCTGCTCTGTGCTAGACACATCACACTTCATCCCAGTTAATGCTCACTGTTGCTCTGGGGGCCCTGGCAGTGGGAAGAGCCTCCCCCAGCCACTGCTGCAAATCCATCACTCCTTCTGTGATGGCAGTGATACCAACAGCAGTGGATATCAGCCCAGTGTTGAGGAGAGGCATGGAGATGATCATCACTGGACAGATGAAGAAACTGAGGGTCAGAGAGGTGATGTGACTTAGCCAGGATCCCACAGCCAGTCAGTGCTGAAGCTGGTTTTAAATCAGTTTCTCCTCCTTTAAAGGTGCTATTCATTTCATGCCACTGCACCATTCCCTTTGAAGCAAAATATTTCCTAGTTGTTTGATGAATAAAATGGGAAGGGGGAGCTCATTTTAAAATGAACGGTACTAACTCAGCAAGGCAGAAAGTTTCCCTGTGCTGTGGGAAGAGGTTGGGACCGCACCTGTGGTCCTCACTGAAATTATCTCCTTTACTCCGTCAAGACGCCAGCATGACTTGTAGACTGTAGAGTGGAATTCTTTTTTAACCACACAAAGGATGACTTAGAGTCAGCTTAACATCTTCTGAAGAGGCTTTTTTCTTGAATAAATATTGACTGTGCTCCTAATAAGTGGCAAGTACTATCCTAGGCCCTGGGACTTTAGCAGTAAAGTAAACAGATGAAGCCCAGGCTCTCAGGAACTGGTATTCTAGTGGAGAGAGCTGGAAAGCAACAAAATAGATACATAAAATATATATTATTTTATGTGGATTATGATCTCATTTTTATAGCTATGCCCATCCATCCATCCATCTGTCCATCACTCAATCTGTTTGTATCTCCATTCATCTATTGCTTTGTCCACCCATCCATCCATCTATCCATTCATCCATCAATCTACCTCTGTCTTTCCATCTATCCACCAGCCATCTCTGCACCCATCCATCTGTTCATCTGTCCATTTGTCCACTCATCATCTATCCATCTACTGTCCATAATCCATTTATCCATTCATCCATCTATCCATCTGTTTAACCCATCCATCCATCCATTCATCTATTTACATGCATGCCTAGAAAGATTCCTAGAGTGTGCTTTGCCTAATGCTACTGATAATTATTTCTGGATAATGGCACTTGGAATAATTAACAGCATTTTTGTGCTTTTCTGTATTATTTGAATTCCTTAAAATTAGCAGTATTTCTTAAAAATCAAGACAAGGAAAAACCAAACAATGGGAATCCATGCCAAGTCCAGTGTTGGTTAAGCAGAACAGGAAAGAGGGACACGTAGGGGCTGCTGGCAAGCCTGGTCTTTCTGCCGCTGTCTTCTGCATGGACAGCTGGTCCCCACATTGCAGTTCATTTCAGTTTATAAAAGTGGCTCCAGATGGTTAAAGTGATGTGGCCTACACAGATGCTTTTGCTGTCACCACCTTCAGGAAGACTTGACCCAGTTAACTGACCTGTATTGAGGATTATTAATCAGGAAATTTCAGAGTTAGGAGGGCCATGGAAGTGTGCTGGTGGGTCCCCACATTCACCAGTGGGGTCCCAGTGGGATCCTGGAGTCTTCTGCCTCAGGAAGAGGTGAGTCTGCATAGTGTGGATGAAGTCAAGGTTTATCCTTCATTTATTTAACACACATCTGTTGATGTCTTTCTCTGTGCCAGGAACCAGGTTAAATGCTGGAGATAGAGATGTGATACTGATGCCATCCTAAACCTCACTGGAGAGATGTGTAAGAAATTGGACAGTTGAATTTGACACAAGAATTATTGAGTTGATTAAAACCAAAGAGAAAGCAGAGGAAAGGCATCTGTCCCATAATGTGGGGTCAGGAAAGGCTTCTAGAAAAGCCTGTGTGTGTGTGTTAGTTGCTCAGTCATGTCTGACTCTTTGTGACTCCATGGACTGTAGCCCACTAGACTCCTCTGTCCATGGAATTCTCTAGGCAAGAATACTGGAGTGGGTTGCCATGCCCTCCTCCAAATGATCTTCCCAATCCAGGGATTGAACCCAGGTCTCCTGCATAGCAGGCAGACTCTTTATCATCTGAGCCACCAGGGAAGCCCAGAAAATCCAATACTGGTGCAGAAACCAAAAGAAGAGAACCAGACAAAGAGCAGTTTGGGGAAGAATGTATTCTAGGCAGAAGGAAGCACATGGGTGATAAGGAAGGAGGCTTGGTATTAATAATAACAATTTTTGCAATTATTACACTGGAAGTGTTGGTCAAGGCCATCGACAGTCCCATGTTTCCAAACACCATGGTCAAGTCCCTGTCTTCGTGTCCCTTGACCTCGCTATAGCACTAGGTCCACGGCTCTTTTCTTGAATATGTTCCCTCCTTGGCTTCTAATACTGTGGACACCTGGTTCTCTCCCAGCCCTGGAGCGACTCCCTGACTACAGTTTACCGAGCAGCCCAAGTGAAAGATGGTGGAGTCATCCTGCATCCTCCTCTTTCAGTGAGCTTGTTGGCTCCACTGTCACGGTGTCTCCCCTGTCCCACCGCTTCTCACCACCTCCCGTCCACCACTCTGGTTCACCCGGCCAGCATCTCTCTCCTGAGATACCTCCCCTCTGCTTCTCCTCTTGTTGCAGGTGGTTCGTGGTCTGTGTGTCATCCAAAGTAATCTTTAAAAAATGAAAATCAGCTCATGCATTCCCACTGCTTAAATTCCTGCAATGACTTCTCATTTCCCCATAAAGACCGGCCAAATCCTGACTACAGTGAAAAGGCCCTTATGAGCTGGCCCCCTGCTACCCATCCCACTGGATCTCCTCGCACTCTGCTTCTCACACGGCCCATGCCAGTATAACTGGCCTCCTTTGCTCTCCATCAAACGTGCTCACCTAGGGGTCTCCCCCGACACCCATCTTAAATACCAGTCACCCCACCCACCACCCTCTGCTTCTTTATTCTGCTTGGTTTTCCATCTTGGCACCTAAGTACCACTACCTGATACAATGTCTGTCTGTAGACTTACCATCTGCCTCTTTAACCAGACTATGAGTCTTATGAAGGCAGAAACTTTGTGTTACTTACTGCTTGGTCTCCAGTGCCTGAAACATGGTCTGGAACCCAGTAGGACTCCATCACAGTGTTGGTTGAATGAATAAATGTACTAATAATCTGGCATAGTGACCCACCAAACATGTCTTAAGTCCTAATTCCCAGAACCTATGAGTATGACTTGTTATGGCAAAAGAGACTTTGCAGTACATCAAGGCTATATTTTGTCACCCTGCTTATTTAACTTATATGCAGAGTACATTTTATGTGAACTGCCAGGCTAGATGAAGCACAAGCTGGAATCAAGATTTCCAGGAGAAATATCAATCACCTCAGATATGCAGCTGACACTACCCTATGGCAGAAAGTGAAGAGGAACTAAAGAGACTCTTGATGAAGGTAAAAGAGGAGAGTGAAAAAGCTGGCTTAAAATTCAGTATTCAAAAAAATGAAGATCATGGCATCCAGTGCCATCACATCATGGCAAATAGATGAGGAAACAATGGAAATAATGAGAGACTTTATTTTCGTGGGCTCCAAAATCACTGCAGATGGTGACTGCAGCCATGTCATAGCTTTTCTCCCAGCTTGCTTCTTGGAAGAAAAGCTATGACCATCCTATACAGCATATTATGAAGCAGAGACATTACTTTACCATATAGTCAAAGGTCTGTATAGTCAAAGTGATGGTTTTTCCAGCGGTCATGTGTGGATGTGAGAGTTGGACCATAAAGAAGGCTGAGTGCTGAAGAATTGATACTTTTGAACTGTGGTGCTGGAGAAGACTCTTGAGAGTCCCTTAGACTGCAAGAAGATCCAGCCAGTCAATCCTAAAGGAAATCAGTCCTGAATATTCATTGGAAGGACTGATGCTGAAGCTGAAAACTCCAATACTTTGGCCACCTGATGAGAAGAGCCAACTCATTAGAAAAGACCCTGATACTGGGAAAGATAGAGGGCAGGAGGAGAAGGAGATGACAAAGGATGAGATGGTTGGATGGCATCACTGACTCAATGGACATGAGTTTGAGCAGCTCTGGACAGGGAAGCCTGGTGTGCTGCAGTCCATGGGGTCACAAAGAGTCAGACACGACCCAGCAACTGAACAACAAGGACTTTGCAGATGTGATTAAGGATTTACAGATGGTGGGCATTGTCCTCGATAATCCCAGTGGCTCCTAAATATAATGAGAAGTGTCCTTACAAGAAGGAAGCAGGACTCACAGCCTGAAGAGAAAGCGAAGACAGAAGCAGGGATTGGAGGATGCACTTTGGAGATGAAGGAAGGGGCCATAAGCCAAAGAATGCAGGCAGGCCTAGATGCTGGAAGAGGCCAGGCAAAGGATTCTCCCCTGGAACCTCCAGAAGGAGCCAGCCCAGCTGACCTTGACTTTGGCCCAATGACACTGATTTCAGACTTCTGGTCTCCAGAACCATAAGAGAACAAGTGTGTGTTGTTTTAAGCACTGAGTTTGGGCTGATTTGTTACAGCCACAATAGGAAATACATACAAATACAGTAACAACAGTAACAACCATTGGCAACTTACTGAAGGACTATGATTTGTCAAGCACTGCACTTAGATGTCTTGTAAATCGGTTCTTTTTAGGTGAAGATAAGAAACGGCAGAGGATGAGATGGTTAGATAGCATCACTGGCTCATTGGACATGAATTTGTGCAAACTCCAAGAGATGGTGAAGGACAGGGAAGCCTAGCCTGCTGCAGTCCATGGGATCACAAAGAGTTGGATACAACTTTGCACCTGAACAACAACAGAAATTCATTTCAAACTAGTTTGAGTGTAAAGGAAATATATCCATACCCTGACTGTCCCCCACAAAATCAGGGCTGAGCTCTGGGAGTTCAAAAGTCAAAGGATATTCTGTGGGTCTCTCCCTTTCTCCACCTCTCTTCCATTTCTTTGTGTCCACTAATAAGCTTCTTCTACACAAGAAGGGATATGGCAGCTGACAGCCCTGAGCTAATGGCCTCTCAGCATCCAGTGGTCCTGACTTAGCTATATAAAGGGCTTTTCTCTCCTGGGTTTGCTGTGTAAGATCCCAGGGAAGGTTTCTGGTTGACCAGGTGGCCAGGCATGCCCACCCTGTTACTAGGCTATGTAGTTTGCCTTCTTAGCACAGACCAGTTTTACCCATCACAGCTCATCTTGTCTTCACAAAACCTTTGACCTCCAAAATGCTACTCCCTTGTGCAGATGAGGAAGCCAAGGTTCAGAGAGAAATAAAGGCACTTCCCAAGGACACACAGTTCTGTGCAGTGGGTCTGGAGGCTACACCTTTTGGAAAGTGTAGAGCTACCTGCATGCTTTCTTTTTTTCTAGCATTTTTTGGGGAAGTACTTTAGATTCACAAGAAGTTGCAAAAGTAGTGTGGAGAGTTCCAGGACCTGGTTCCATGTTTCACTGTTTCACCCAATGGTTTCTTCTTACAGGATCCTAGTACAATATCAAAACCAGGAAGTTGACATGGGTATAAAATGCATGTTTAAAAAAAATAAAAAGAAAAAGAAAAGGCATGTTTACTTCTGTGTCACCTTATCACATGTAGTTTAGTATGACACCACAATTAAGACGTAGAACTATTCAGCTGCCACAAGATTTGTTTGTGTTGCCCCTTTATAGTTTATCCACTCCTCCCTGTATCCCTGGGGCTTCCCAGGCTTGCTCATGGTAAAGAACCTGCCTGCCAATGCAGGAGACATAAAAGATGTGGGTTTGATCTCTAGGTCGGGAAGATCCCCTGGAGGAGGAAATGGCAACCCACTCCATTATTCTTGCCTGGAGAATTCCATGGACAGAGGAGCCTGGCTGGCTACAGTCCATGGGGTCACAAAGAGTCAGACACGACTGAAGTGACTTAGCATGCAGCACACCGCATCCCTAACTCCTGGTCACTTCTGCTCTGTTCTCCATCCCTATGTTCTGTCAACTCTGGTTATTCACTTGGAATCATACAGGATGTGAGCGTGGACCCTGGCTTTTTCCAGGCAGTGGAAAGCCCTAGGGATCCATCCAGTTCTTTCACTGGAGACTGGTATCCTGTGGCATGGCCATAGCACATTTTCTTTAAGCATCCGCTGCTCTAGGGCCCTTTCAGTTGTTTCCAGAGCCTGTGCTGTTCCTTCTGAGCCCTGTCGCCTCACGGAACATAAGTAGGAGGAGAAATTACTAATTGGCCTGGCTGCAGGCCAGGGCTGTAACTATGACGAGTGAGTTACGCTCTATCCAGGAGGGTAGCTGGAAGGGATGGATGAAGGCTTAGGGAATGTCATAGGGAGCCAAGGCTACTGACCAAATAGATTTTCTTGACAGCTTTGTAAATTTGGGGACATGTTTTCAAGACTGAGCTACTGAAATATTTATCTCCCTGGGACAAAAAGTCCTAAGACCGCGATCCAGTCAACCCTGCTGTTCATCAAGGTGGGAGCCGTGAGGCTCTGAGTCCCTGCATTCACTCCTCCAGGAGCTGAGACTGGCGTCGTACCTGTCAAAGCTGACGATGCTGCCAGGGGGCACGCTGCACCGGCTTCTGACCGTGGCTCTGCCCACAGCCTCGCAGGCCGAGCTGCTGGCCGTGCTGGACTCCGTGGGCCAGAAGCATCAAGACCACGCGGTGGAGAATGATGGCGGTGGGGTGCAGGCTGATCTGGGAAGGAGAGGGTAAGTGCAGGGTCAGCTGCCCTTGGAAAATGAGGTCCCAGTAGAGAGAACGGATGGGGGTGGTGAGCCGGACCGTGGGCCACAAGCACACGCCTTCCCAGGGGAACGTCCTCACTCAAGGAGCAGACAGTATCCAGGGGTGTCATCATGAATCCTGGAAGTCGTGGCCAGCCCAAGGGTTTTGTCCACAGCTTCTCTTTTCATCACTGGTTCACTTCCCAATAGGATCTTAAGACAGTAATTTCCCTTGGGCTGAAAATATGCCATATACACAAGTAAATGCATAAGGGAAAAAGGCAAAGAAACAGCATGGTTCTATCAGCTGGAGAAACCGGCTATTAGCATTTTGTTACAATTCTTCCTCCAGAATGGGCTTGCCTGCTGGGCTGTGTGAGTGTGTGCGCATGCGCGTGAGCACACAGGTATAGGAATCCCAGTATATACAGTTTTACCTCCTGCTTTTCAGAACCTTATTGCAGAGGCAAATTTGCTTATTACCTTTCAGCTCTTGTCCACATGCAAACATCTTCCTAAATATCTATTTCGACTCTTTCTGCTATTTTTATTAACAATTTAAGATTCATGCTTTTCCCAGTTATAGAAACATCTCCATAGATATTATTTTTCATAGCTGCTTATTATTCTACTGAGGTGTGTAGCATAGTGTATGTAATTGCTACTCTATTACTGAACATTTAGTCTGGGTCATTTTTCCTCAATTATGGATAAGGATGCATAGATACTTCAGGGTCAAGTTACAGGTGTGCAGTTTGTCAGTTAAGGGTCTTTATTAAGGAAAGGCATGAAGGGGGACCTTGGATAAGGTGAGTATAGGGCAGCCAGCGGTGCCACTTGAGAGCAGAATTTGTTAGGGGTGAGGCTGCAAGGAAAGCCATGACCAACCCGGAAAGTGCTGAAGGCTAGGCAGCAAAGCCCAGACCTCAACCAGGATCCACAGGAGGCTAGGGAAGGGCGTCTTGACGCCAGTGAGTCTGTGGAAATGGCATGACTGTGTGGANCCACCCCCACCCCACCCCCCACCGCCCCATAACTGCGCAGTGTGAACCCGCAGAGGCAGAGTATGAACTGGGCCAGAGCCAGGCACCAGCGGACACTCGATCCTGTAGTGACTTGACTTGAACCCAAGCCCGTGGACATCTCACTCCCCCTGTTCTGTTCACTGTCCCTTCTTCAGGTGAGAATCACGTGGCACTCAGGCTCCCTGCTTCACCCACCTTCTAAGCTTCCATTGACCTTGTTAATCTTCTTATTCATGTATTTATAAAACATGTATGAGCTCCTAGTATGTGCACTGTCTTAGGCACAGGTGTAGGTGGGAGAGTAAGGGACAGTCCTGCTGCCCAGAACGTCCACTCTGGGGGAGATGAGCCACACACAAGCCAGTGCAGAGAGCTCTTTGCCTCCAGAATCTTCCATGCATTCAACTGCTGGGATGCTCAGACTCAGCTCAAGTGTCCCCACATCTCAGCAGCCTCCCTCTATCTGACCGATGTCACGTGCTACCTGTCTGTGACCCCTGGACTGGGGACCCCTTGGGGCAGAGACTGTGTCTTGACTTGACCAGCGAGATGCTTGAACAGTGTTCACAGAGTGAGTGAGCGAGCAAATGTGACTACTCTCAGGGTTTTTCCTGTCAGCCAAACAAAGGTCATACTAAAGGAAGGAGTTCCCAGAGGGCTTTTTAGGATTATGCATCACTTGAAGGTTCTGTTCTTTTTGAAAATACAAGAATGTCTCTTCTTGCCTTCAGGAAACACCAGGGCTGGTGGCAAGCCTTAGAGAGCAAACTTCGAGGAGAACTGATAAACAGAGGATTAGAGAAGATGCTCTGGGCCCAGAAGAGGAAGGAGAGGTAATGAGGGCGTCTGTCCCGTGGGCTGCAGAGGCTGTCAGCCAGGATGCCCATGAGCCCGGAAGGGGCGGGGGAGGGGACCAAGAAGGGAGGGCTACTGCAGACACACCACACTCCTTCCCTCAAGACAACAGTCTGTATTTGAAGTGGGCTTAGTTTATTTTTCTTTCAAGGGAGAGCATGAACACAGAGCCATACTACCAAAATGGGCTTAGTTTAAAGTGAAGTAAGTCAGACAGAAAAACAAATATCAAATGATAGCACTTATATGTGGGGTTTTAAAAAAAAATGATACAAATGAACTTACTTGTAAAACAGAAATAGACTCACAGCCTTAGAAAACAAGCTTATGGAACCAAAGTAGAAAGAGGTGGGGAGGGATAAATTAGGAATATGGGATTAACATATATAGACTACTGTATATAAAATAGATAAGCAACAAGGATTTACTGTATAGCTCAGGGAACTATAGTCAGTATCTTGTAATAACCTATAATGGAAAAGAACCTGAAAAACAATACATATACAAAACTGAATCACTTTGCTTTACACCTGAAATAAACACAATATTGTAAATAAACTATCCTTCAATTTCTTTTTTTTTTAAAGCAAAGTGAGCTTAGTCTAGGAGCTGAAGATAAGCTGCCTGCTATCAGTGGGAGAATGTTCTATCGTTTATTAGCATTTTAATTACAGTACTTATTTTAACCAATGGCTCTTTTTAAATGGAACCTCATTAGGAGAATTATTCCTTATAAAGGCTTAGATTTTATAGTTTACGAAGTCCTTTCCCATCTTGTTGCACTGAGCCTCCCCGCTTCCGGAAAGTGGGAGAAATCCCACGGTCACACTTTACCAGCTCGGGGAGGTCAGAGGAAGAGAGAGACCCCCACTGATGAAAAGTGGCCGTGGGATTTGGGGGCACTGAACCAACCCCTCTATTTCCCTGAGTTTCCAGGCCACTGCTCTTTTCACTCTATTGAGTACCTTTCTCTTTGAGCTGCAGTGATGGCACACCTGGAGGGCAGAGGGAAATTGGAGGCAGGGTGGTTTTAGATTGCTGCAGACAACAGACGCAGGAACTCGCGTGTTTCCCACTAGAAATCTGGTAAAAGAGCAACAGGAGTGACAAGAGTTATGTTAACCTGTTTGAAAGTAACAGATTAAAAAAGTGATAACCAAAATGTACTGTGGAAACAGTGATGCCCACGGGACGTGGCCGAGTCCTGCACCTTCCAGAAGTTCTCAGGGTGAAGCTGCAGGGACCAAACCTCCCAAAGAATCCATGATAAAAGTCTCAGAGCCATTGATAATGGGCTGGATATCAGAATTTAGTCCCAGAGGAATTAGATCAGGGTATTGAGCCAAAACCAAGAAAATTAAATTCAGGCCATATAAAGGGAAAGCGCTCCACTAAGGACTGGAAGTCAGGGGTCCTAGAGTAGGATGAGATTGGGAGAGCAAAGGCACTCCTGGGCTGCAGTGATGTCAGTGGGCGAGTGCAGATCAGGAGGACCCTGGGCCTGTGGTGCTAGACCACCATACCTGCCTTTTCTCTGCCTCAAGGCGCTGTGGACAGATGGTGGGAGGAGCAGAGACTGTGAGTCAGAGGGAGCTGATGGAGCTGTCTTTGAATCCTTGCTCGGATGACACAGCTGCCAGGGCAGGCGTTCATGGTGATGGGGTTGGAACCTCAAAGCCACGTGTCTTCAGGAAGGGCCCATGAGCCTCCAGTCAGAATGTCAGCCCGCAGTGACATGACCTTATCCTGCTCTGCTTGGGCAAAGGACTCTGTGGCTTTCAGGTCGTATAGGGCTCTTGGAGGGAGTCAGAGCCACTTTCAAAGGCAGCTGGGACTGAGGGACGGGACCGCTCACCGGCAGGACTCCAACAATCCTTTTACAGATATTCCCCCAGTGTGTGGCTCTGTTCTACTTCAGACACATTTTACCTAACTTCTAACTGTTGCATTACACTCAGATGTTACCAGCCTGCGTTTAGTGTGAGGCCTACAGGCAGTGGCATCCTGGACAATGTATCCCAATTGTCTGGGAGGAGACGGGGAAGCTCTGACTTGTAGCATCTGTCAGTTTCCATGGTGTGAAACACCCCCACCCTGGCAGGCTCACCAAACTCCAGAGAACCGAACAGTCATGAGTCAGTGTGAGCCGTCTGCAGCCGCCCCTGCCATGGGCTTCAGCTAATCTCAAGGGCCACCCTGGCAACCACAGAACAAACCCTTTAAAGTGACACTTGACGGGGGACCTGGGGACCAGGAGGGGGTTTTCCTGGAGAACTCTGTCGGCACATTCAGGAGAGTCAGTTGCCAAAAAAATGTCCAGTCTGATTTTCTGTTCTCTCTTTAGCATATTAAAGAAGACGTGTCCCCCTCTCAGAGAAAGAGTGATATTCTCTGGAAAAGGAAGTTGGCCACATCTGTCCCTGGAGTCCATTGACGAACTGACCCCAGTGTCCATTGTAGGGGCAGAAGCCGTTGATCTATTAAACACGGGTGAAAAGCTCTTTATCTTCAGAAATCCAAAGGAGCCCGAAATCTCACTGCACGGTCCTCCCAGGAAGAAGAAGAACTTTCTGAACGCCAAGAAGGCTGCATGGGCCTTGGGCATGAACTAGCTGAAAGGAAAGTTTCTAGAGTCTAAAGACACAAAGAGTTGTTTTCTCCTGCCCATCTGCGTGTGTGTGTGTTTATTATGTACAACTCACAGGTATCGATTGTACATGAAGAAGACTGACACATCTCTAACCCTCCCCCTCTCCCACCATGACTTTCGAGGACTCAATTCAGTCTGGTCCTGTGAATTCCCAGGTGACCCATTCCCTTTAGCATCACAGGGGACATGAAGAGACAGGGGACCACCCCATGAACCCTCACTGCTTTCAGTCCCAGACCACTGAGGATCTGGGGGAGACCCCCCCAACCCCCAGTTCACATCGCTGAAACACCTGACTGAATTGTGGGCTGTGTGTCAAAGGGCAAGGTTCTCAGTTCTTGCATTGTGTTTGTTACATATTCTATCTTTATCAAGGGAACTTTTGATTAATAAATGCATTTTTAGATAAAGCTACTCTCAAGGGAGATTCATTTTTGCTCTCTGTAGGAACCATTTATTTACTTATTTTTGATGTTTGTTTTATTTTTTAACTTTTTATTTTGTATTGGAATATAGGAGGACATGGCAACCCACTCCAGTATTCTTGCCTGGAGAATTCCATGGACAGAGAAGCCTTGTGAGCTACATACTGTCCATGGGTTGCAAAAAATCAGACACAACTGAAGCGACTTAGCATGCATGCATAGCCAACTATGAAGAAAGACATGGCAATCCACCCCAGTATTCTTGCCTGGAAAATCCCATGGACAGAGGAGCCTGGTGGGCTACAGTCTGTGGGGTCACAAATGAGTTCACATGACTTATCGACTCAACAACAAATAGCCAATTTACAATGTTGTAATGGTTTCAGATGGACAGCAAAGGGACTCAGCCATACCTATACATGTATCCATTCTCCCCCAAACTCCGCTCCCGTCCAGGCTGTCACATAACATTGAGCAGAGTTCCCTGGACTACACAGTAGGTCCTTGTTGGGTATAGACTTATCGACTCAACAACAAATAGCCAATTTACAATGTTGTAATGGTTTCAGATGGACAGCAAAGGGACTCAGCCATACCTATACGTGTATCCATTCTCCCCCAAACTCCGCTCCCGTCCAGGCTGTCACATAACATTGAGCAGAGTTCCCTGGACTACACAGTAGGTCCTTGTTGGGTATCCATCTTAAATATAGCCGTGTGTGCATGTCGATCGCAAACTTCCTAACTATCCCTTCCCCTTGTCCTTCCCTGCTGCAACCACAAGTTCGTTTGTTGCTTTCTGTAGGAACCATTTATGTTTAGTCCTTTCTTGGGTTTTGGCCCTATATTGTGATGTTAAATAGAGATTTGCCCTTCATCATTCCAGGTGCCTGAAGAGGTGCCAGCCACTGGGCTGCACCATCTCCAGCTCAAATCAGGAAACCCAGAGGCTTGAGGTCATAAAGCCAATAAGTAACTAAGTCAGGACTCACTGAAGACTTTACCGCCCCAAACTCTCGTCCCTTCTCCTGGACTCGGTAAATGGACACACACTTGCCCTCGCGTGTCTGCCAGCAAGCTGACTGCACACAGGTCCTTGTCTTTCACAGCGTGCTCTCCTGAAGCTCTCCATCCTCACAGTGGTGGTTGGATGAGCATTTCTGTGAACCAGGCAAAGAATACAGTTACAATCGTATTAGGTCTACAGTTACCAGGGGTCTTTCCTGACAGTGGGAAATGATCGGGCAGGGAGTCCTCTCACCAGCAAGAGGAAGAAAAGGGATCCCAATGATGAAGCATCTTTTACAAGAGAATCGCTTCTGTGAATAGACCCTTCCAGCTACTTGAATCCACTTATTGATCCTTGATGATACACAGCAGGTAGGGATAACTACTCCCACTTTACACCCAAGGAAGCTGAGAGAAAATTTTAAGTTTCTGGCAATCACACCACCTGTAAAGGAGGAATCCTCACTTTGAACCCAAGTCTCCTAACTTTCAGATCTTACCTGCCTGGAGACTCTGCATTGCCTTTGGCAACCTAAAAGCCAAGTGCTTGGCCAAATATTTCTTTATTTAGCTTCACCAGGTCTTAGTTGCAGCAGGCAGGATCTTCCTTGCAGCATGCGAACAGTTAGTTGCAGCGCATGGGCTCTAGTTCCCTGACCAGGGATTGAATCAGGGTCCCCTGCTTTGGGAGTGCAGAGTCTTAGCCACTGGACCACTGGGGAGACCCCCGAAGGTCAAGTCTTATTTGCAGTTTTCCCATGGGCACCATGCAGCATGGTGATCAGGGACCTTTACTGGGGGTGGCACTTCTTTCAGGGAACTCTGTGGACCCTTAGAGTGGCTGCCAGTTGACCACATCACTGCTTTAGTGGATATGCACAAGTAAGCAGTTAAAATGCAGGAGAGAAAAGTGAATGGGGTCAGTATTCCTATCAGAAGATCAGGTGAGCAGAGAGGAGAGAAAGGGCAGTGAGTTTCACACACAGGATAGTGAAATGGAAAAGGCATGGTCTTTGGTATAAGCCAACACAGTTCAGATCCTGCTCTACTGCCTGTGAGCTGTGTGTCCTGGGCGAGTCACCTCACCTTTCTGAACCTCATTTTCTTCATCAACAAAGGGATAATGAGATTATAAGGATTAGATGAAACCGGATCTGTGAAGCGCTTGGTGGTGGCGTGGGCCTGCCACATCTATGTCCTTCTGTATTCTTTGAAGGTGATCTGTTTCCTTTTCTAATAATTTCCTGATTCTAGGACTCAGCTGGAATTATGCATGACTGAAAGTAGATTGCACACAAAGATTTGAAAAAATATCTCAAAATTATGGGCTCAGGCTGAATGAATAAGCTATTAGCAACAACAGGAGGTGTTCAAACTGTTCAAAGTACAACATTTGAACCTAGTAATAACTCCCTATGTTAATAGACAGAGAAAGACTAACTATTGGTTTAAGTTCTCTAAACTCACTGCATGAGAAATATGAAGACATGATGGGAAAGCTTGTGCTTCTGAAATCAGGTAGATCAGGTTTAAATCTTGGCTTGACAACTTTTGAGCAAGTCACTTAAGCACTCTGAACCTTAGTCTCTTTAGTCTCATTATCTGGAAAGCAGAGGTCCTAATACCTACCTTAGGGTAAGGATGTCACAAAGAGTGAAGATATCACATATCATATAAAATGTTAGCATACAGTAAAATGTTGGTGTGCAATAGTGCAGCTTATTTATTCTATTTTTACATATTCACAAAATTGAGTGTTATGTTTCCTTTCATTCCTGTTTCCACCCTAGGTAAAGACAGGGACCCTTCCAGAAGGGCTGCACCTGCCACAATATATGGAAGGCTATCCATGAGAGGCTGCCATGAGAGCCAGACTTCAACAGTACGTGAACTATGAACTTCCAGATGTTCAAGCTGGATTTAGAAAAGGCAGAGGAACCAGAGATCAAATTGCCAACATAAGTCGGATCATTGAAAAAGCAAGAGAGTTCCAGAAAAACATCTGCTTTATTGACTATGCCAAAGCCTTTGACTGTGTGGATCACAACAAACTGTGGAAAATTCTTCAAGAGATGGGAATACCAGACCTCGTGACCTGCTTCCTGAGAAATCTGTATGCAGGTCAAGAAGCAACATTAGAACTGGACATGGAACAACAGACTGCTTCCAAATTGGGAAAGGAGTACATCAAGACTGTGTTTTGTCACCCTGCTTATTTAACTTATGTGCAGATTACATTTGGTGGAGGCAATAGCAACCCACTCCAGTCCTCTCGCCTGGAAAATCCCATGGACGGAGGAGCCTGGTGGGCTACAGTCCATGGGGTCTTAAAGAGTTGGACACAACTGAGTGCCTTCACTTTCACTTTTCACTTTCATGCATTGGAGAAGGAATGCAACCCACTGCAGTATTCTTGCCTGGCAAATTTCATGGACAGAGGAGCCTAGTGGGCTACAGTCCATGGGATCACAGAGAGTCAGACATGACTGAGCACGCACACACACACACATGAAAGCCTTGCTGTGGGTATTTGGGAGTTAGATCCAACCTGACGGGATATTTGGGAATAGCTTGGAGCTTATGACTCCAAATCTTTACCTCCAGACTGGACTTCTTCTTGGGCTCCAGACCCTTTTGTCACAGGTGCCTGTCCAACCCTGAACCCACTGGCTTCCTAGAAAACCTGTTCCACTACAGAGGCCCCCTGTCTGAGTGGATGGGACCAAGCCAGAAACCTGCAAGTCATCCTAGACATCTTCCTGTTTCTCAGTCCCCCAAATATGATGACCAGATCTTGCTGATTGTACTCCTGCCTTAGCACAGTGGTATAACCTGTGCGCTCCCTCTCCCCTCCATTCCTGCTTAGGTCCTGTCTCTCCCAGATGGTGCCAGCAGCCTCTCCTCTGGGTTGGCTGCAACCAGTCTGTTCTATGTCTATGGTCCATATCTGAGTCACTCCCTTGCCGAAAGACTTCCAAAAACTTTTCATTACTTACAAGACCTCCATGAATTGTCCTTTTATAGCCTTCCTATCTGTGTCTATAAGGGAAGTCTTTACTTTCCAAGGAGCCGTTGAGTGGTAATGAGACACAAAGAATAAAGTGAATCTGGATTTCCATCCTGGATCTGCCATTTACTATGTGGCTCTAAAGAAGCCACCTAACTTGTTTTCCTTTCTTATAATAGCTTTGTCTGGTTTTGGTATTAAGGTAATGCTGATCTCAGAATGATTTAGGAAGTGTTTCCTCTGCTTGTACTATCTGGAAGTATGGAGAAGATTATGGAGAATTGGATCACTTCTTCCTTAAATAATAATAATCATATGGAATAGTTTCCAGTGAGTCCATCTGGATCTAGTGCCTTCTGCTTTGGAAGAAAAGAAATTATTGATTCAAGGACTTCAATAGATATAAACCAGTTTAGATAGTCTTTTACTTCTTGTGTGAGTTTTGGTACTGTGTGTCTATCCAGAAACTGATCCATTTCATAAAAGTTATCAAATATGCAGCATAAAGTTTTGGAAGCTACTTGTTTGTCTTCCTTTTAATATCCATGAGAATAGTTGTGATGACCATACTTTCATTTCTGATTCATAATAGCTTATTCTTCTTCTGTCCCCTGATTAACATAACTACATATATAGCAATTTCACTGATCTTCTTCAAGAACCAGAACTTATATAAGAGCCTCATTTTCTTGATCTTTTATTGTCCTATTTTTAATTTCCTTGACTTATATTTAAATTTTAGTATTTCTGTTTCTCTAATTTTTTTTCTATTTAAGCTTAAATGGCAGTCTCTTGCAGCCCCCTATGGTCCCCTCACCTCTAATTTCTTCTTTTCCAGGAGAAACTTTTAGTTCTTTAGCTGTTTCTTGCGGCATCAACTTTTATATTCTTAGGAACATACTGCAACTTCTCAGTGCTGTATTATTGAGAATATATATTGACCTTCTATTATAGCAAATGAGAATTTAGC